CTACCAAGTATTGGACTATTCCCGATGCATGTGGGTGACCCCTTATGCACGTGCCACGTGCAAAACGAAGAGGTGTCAGTTTTGCAATTGTTGCAATATTTCGGTAACTACTTGGCCGATTGCGCTGAAAGTTGGCATGTAGGTAGGCACCCACTAGGCACTGCATATCCATGTGCCAGAGTTGGGGTGCTGCTGCACGTGCGCACGTGCAGGGGTCGTTTCCAGATCTCGAGAACGGCTGGACCGATTGCGCTCAAATTTGGTACACAGTTAGGGACCGGTTAGTAGGGTGCCGTGCAAAAGCCAGTCGGGACCCATTTTGCACGTGCGCACGTGCAGGGTGCCGCTCCCAGATCTCGAGAACGGCTGGGCCGATTGTGCTCAAATTTGGCACATCGCTAGAAACCGGTCAGTAGGGTGCCGTGCACAAGTCAGTTGGAGGTACCCCCTCGAAATTTCGCACGTGCAAGGCTCACCCTCTCGCTCGCTCCGTTAGTCGCCCCAAAAGGCGCTATACTGGTCTTAATTGTTCAAGTCTTTCCTTGATTCCAATTTAGGCAATAAGTCGCAGCGTGTATCCTACATACGTGCGCTCTGATATTCTAAACACGGCAACCCCGGTCGACCACAGGCTGCAGCCCACAGGTCACTTCGGATCAGTGAGTGAGCCCGTATATTTTTTTCTTTTTTTTTGCAAAGAATAAAGATTCTGCCTATCGATCAACGTATAGTTATTTTACCGTTTCGAATTCGCATGGATGCGTATTTTGAGAATAAAATGTCCGTAGCCTGAGCTCGTTTCCTATATCATGCTAAAAATTCATCTAGATCAAGGTTTTTTGATAAAAAAAACACCAGGCTGCAAATTGCATTAATTGGACTTAATGAAAATCAGCGAAAGCTGGTTCTTATGTATTTTGCAACACCTATAGTAAATCATGCATGAACATGACGTTACATTTTAGCCTGACACCCCTGTCACTAGCTGACAATGGCGCCCCTCTCAAGGGAAAAAGTCGCCCCCTCGAGCACCATGGCCCCCCCCCCCCTTTCGCTGATCTCTGGCTACGCCACTGTCTGCAGCAGATGCTTATGTGACTGCAACCACTCGATCGATCGGAAAGCTTGCAAGAACTTTCGCAGACCTCGATCGGCTGGAAGCCGCCGACACTACATATCTGTAATTGACAGAGGCAGACGTCTTTCACGATTATTGCATAAAATTTAAAGCCTCGGTCACACTTCACCGGATTGGACCAACGGACGAGAAACGGACGAGAACTGTCAGCGTCCGGTGATGTCCGTTTGTCATCCGTTAATATCCGTTCCATATCCGGTGGTGTCCGGTTGAGCACACCGGACACCACCGGACACGGAAGCACTGTGACGTCACATGGAAATCGAAGTAAAAATCATACAGCAAAGACGTAGGTGGTGGATTTTTTTTAAAGTTGTGGGTACTATAGTCCACCCAAGAGGATATTGCAAACAATAGGTTGAAGTTTTTTCACAAGAATATGTTTCACCGATGGGTACTTTACAGCCTGAAAATGTACGAAATGATCTGCTATTTAAATTTGAAAAGTGAAAAATGTGAAAACTTCGATTTTTCGGAAAATTACTGGTGGGCCAAATCTTTGAGGCTGGTGGGCCATTTCGGGTCACTGGTGGGCCATTTGGCCCACCAGTTAACATGTTAGCCGAGGCCCTGGTTGGCTTCTTGGAAATTTTCGACATTCGACCTCGAAATCAGCGAAATTTTGCCTTCAATGACCTCTGGTGACCTGACCTTTGACCTGACCCAAAAATTGAACGAAGTAATTTCGTCATTATTTTTGACGCTCTTTCGAGCGCCGCCTTCCGCGTATCGCTACGTGGCCCAGGAGCCGAGTTACAAGGGGGGGTGTTCAAATACCCCCCCCCCCCCCCAGCAGGGCGTGGAAATCCAGGACCCCCAGCCGGGCGCGGGCTAATCGAAGGCTGCAGCTGCAAGAGAGAAGGGCAAAGGAAATTTTTGCATATGTGCAGACGTCTGCCTCAGAAAGGTCTGATGAAAGTTAATCACACTTTGTGTCTATAGGTACCCTGTATTTTACATTCCATCGATGGATACCAATACACGTATGCCTGCTGTGTGTGAAAAAGACCATATTCATGATTCGAACACCACCAATGATATTTTGGGCATCCTGAAATATCTAAAATCTCTCCGAGTTTCCTGTGTTTACGGAGCGAGCGAAGCGAGCGTAGTCTTTCCTTAGATTAACAGAAATTTCTGAGTATGAGCGGCCGGCCGGCCGGCCGGCCGTGGTCACGCTTTTGCGAGGCTTATATCTCAGCAACCACTTGACCGATTTACACGCGGTAATTTTTGTAGGGTAGCTTCATTCCTTCTACCAAGTATTGGACTATTTCCGATGCATGTGGGTGACCCCTTATGCACGTGCCACGTGCAAAACGAAGTAGTGTCACTTTTGTAATTGTTGCAATATCTCGGTAACTACTTGGCCGATTGCGCTGAAAGTTGGCATGTAGGTAGGCACCCACTAGGCAATGCATATCCATGTGCCAGAGTTGGGGTGCTGCTGCACGTGCGCACGTGCAGGGGTCGATTCCAGATCTCGAGAACGGCTGGACCGATTGCGCTCAAATTTGGTACACGGTTAGGGACCGGTTAGTAGGGTGCCGTGCACAAGTCAGTTGGGACCCATTTTGCACGTGCGCACGTGCAGGGTGCCGCTTCCAGATCTCGAGAACGGCTGGGCCGATTGTGCCCAAATTTGGCACATCGCTAGAGACCAGTTAGTAGGGTGCCGTGCACAAGTCAGTTGGAGGTACCCCCTCGCAATTTCGCACGTGCAAGGCCCACCCTCTCGCTCGCTCCGTTAGTCGCCCCAAAAGGCGTTATACTGGTAATTACGGAGCGAGCGAAGCGAGCGTAGTCTTTCCTTAGATTAACGGAAATTTCTTAGTATGAGCGGCCGGCCGGCCGGCCGGCCGGCCGTGCGGACGCTTTTGCGAGGCTTATATCTCAGCAACCACTTGACCGATTTACACGCGGTAATTTTTGTACGGTAGCTTCATTCCTTCTACCAAGTATTGGACTATTCCCGATGCATGTGGGTGACCCCTTATGCACGTGCCACGTGCAAAACGAAGAGGTGTCAGTTTTGCAATTGTTGCAATATCTCGGTAACTACTTGGCCGATTGCGCTCAAAGTTGGCATGTAGGTAGGCACCCACTAGGCACTGCATATCCATGTGCCAGAGTTGGGGTGCTGCTGCACGTGCGCACGTGCAGGGGTCGTTTCCAGATCTCGAGAACGGCTCGACCGATTGCGCTCAAATTTGGTACACAGTTTGGGACCGGTTAGTAGGGTGCCGTGCACAAGTCAGTTGGGACCCATGTTGCACGTGCGCACGTGCAGGGTGCCGCTCCCAGATCTCGAGAACGACTGGGCCGATTGTGCTCAAATTCGGCACATCGCTAGAAACCGGTCAGTAGGGTGCCGTGCTAAAGTCAGTTGGAGGTGCCCCCTCGAAATTTTGCACGTGCAATACTCACCCCCTTGCTCGCTCCGTTAGTCGCCCCAAAAGGCGCTATACTGGTGTATATCATTTAACATGACAATGAACTGACGGGTCTAAAGAGCTCTGTTCCCGCGCCTCACTATTCCGAGGGAGCATGTTCCGGGTAGCTGCGAGCTGTATGTAAATGTGTACGGAGGTGCGAAACGCTGACCTCGCCCCACAATTGACCACTGTCATCGCTAGGCGGGGCTGGGAAGGGAGGGTAAACCAGAGGCCTTCATCGGCGGGAGTCACTCCCCCCAACGACCGATTTCCACGCCCACTCGACTGGAAATATGAAATCGGTGCGACGGGAATGGCACGCCACGTCGCTCGGTCGCAACAATGCGACCTGATGACTTTAGGACAATACAATTGCTTCTAGCAAATGAGAAAATGCTAAAGGGTTCGTTGTGCTGTGTAGTGCTGAGACAGAATCATTGCTTGTTGTTTATAACTTCTATGTGCGACATACTTCACCAACCGAATGTTTAATCAGATTGTTTGTAGCAGATATACTTTTCTGCACTCAACTAACCCGATTAATGACAAAATTGTAAATGTTTAATGCAATCCTTCTTATTTTTAGCTCAGTGTGGTTACAGTGTGTGTGGTCAACTGCATATTGAACTTCTCTCAGCCAGCCTTCTAAAATAAACCGCATTCCCCGTTATAAGAGCATGGAATGCATTGCATTTCTCGACACTCCTTATTTATGCCCAGCTTTGCCGGATGATTGAGCCCGAACGGGCAGTCATAAACACGGGGCACGCGCCTCCGCCCCCATCTCCGCGGAGGGGAGGGGGAGGGGTACCGAGGGAGCAGCGGTCCGGCGGCGCCATCTTGTGACGCGTGTGACGGGTGTGACAGCCGCAGGACGCCTTCCAGACGCGCTTTGACACGACAAGCCGACAAGATTGATAGTATTATGGTTGAGTGGGGACAGGAATTCCCATCGGAGAGGCGCTGTCACCACCTAGGACGATAATGGCTTCAAGGGGTGAGGTAGCCATTTTAGATTTTTCGGTCGTAACTAAAAAAAAAGTTAAAAGAAGATACATTTGATTCATTTTCTCACCGTTTATCTTACCATTTTTATAGGATTTCGACTTGACAGAGAATCTTGCGCATTTTGAATCTAAACGGTATCTAATCAATGACACGAAAAAAGGCAATTCGCAAATACTCCGATTTGGTCGATGAACACTTCTTGCGTTTCATATGTATGACTTTGACTTTCTAAATAACGACTCTCCCGAACATGTTCTGGCGAATATAAATGCCCAATAGCAAAATACCGTATTCTATGCACCATAGACCACTACATATTTAGGTCTATGTATGTATGCATTGATATATAGTGGTCTATGTATGCACACATGCTCATTTTTGCACATCATTAATCATTCGTTTATTCGTTTGTTTCACAGAGTTTCGCTCAGGTGCACTACGGCTACATGGCGTGGATAATTCCGATGTTTGTGGCCATGTCCACCTTCGGAGGCCTCAACGGTATCCTGCTCACCAGCTCCAGGTGAGAACGGTAGCTCGAGGTGAGAATGGCACACCAAGGTGAGAACATTATCCTGCTCACCAGCTCGAGGTGAGAACGGTAGCTCGAGGTAAGAACGGTATCCTGCTTATTAGCTGGAAGTGAGAACGGTATCCTGCTTATTAGCTGGAAGTGAGAACGGCATCCTACTGACCAGCTCGAGGTGAGAATAATTTCTTGCGCATTCGGTGGAGGCTATAGACATAGACGGTGTCTTACTCAATAACCCGATATGAGACTGAGGCCGAACGGACAGAGAAACACACTGAAACCGGTATTTATTCGGGGTTTTCTCCAGTCAAATAATATCGGCTACTTCGCTAATTTCTGCGTTAACCCGGCAGTTGCTGGGGTATTTCGCCACCCACCGTTTGCTGGGGGGGGGGGGGGGGCGTTAAACGCCCCCAGCCGATAACTCGAGAACCAATAGGCGCAGCGAAACGCACTAGGCGGCAAACGAAAGAACGCGACGAGACTAGAGTTGCAAAGTTTCCCTACCGCATTACCGGCATGCCGGTAATTTTTCACTACCGCAGGTTTTTTTGTGGTATCTGGCATGTCTTGCCGGTAGCATGCCGGTATTTTTGGTTTTGCACAAAAAAATTATTAGCATATGATTCAAACTTTGGACACTAAGAGGAAAATGTGGCATCTCTTGTAGGGGTAAACTGGAATCAATAATGCAGGTTTTTTAGTATGCCGGTAATTTGGTGGTGTTTTTGCTTTGGGCGTGGTAGCATGCCGGTATCCCCAAAAAAATTTGTGGGGCGGGGCGGTGCCGGTAGCAGCCTTTGGGGGAAACTTTGCAACTCTAGACGAGACGCTTCAGATGAGTACTTTAAAGTTGAATTTTGAGGTCACAGGTCGGGTCAAGGTCAGGTCAAACACCTGAAATCGGGCTTTCAGTAGCATGGACTTCAGGACTTCGCAATGGGCGCCTCACGTCATAAACTCTGTCAAAACGGTGCACAATCCACCATATAAGGCATACAAGAGTGTCAGCTCCATGTAGGGGTCAGTCAAGCATAGGTCAGGGTCAAGGTCAGGTCAACCGGGTAGGCACATATCCCCGAAAACCAAAACTGATATTCGCAGCCTGTCACACATGTTTTATAGGTAATTTGGGGCTTAGAACACGATGGTGACATTCATTTTATCATATGTGTACGTGTTTGGCTCAAAAAGTTCAATTTAAGAAATGCTTGTATCATGGTCGTGAAGTAGTCACGAGAAATTGCCAAGATTCAGTTCAAGATTATGGAACATGCGGAACGATAATCAATAATCGAAGATAGCCATTTGATTGATCATGAAATTGGCAGTCTAATGTAGTTTACGGCATGTCTATATATCTATTTTGTGATTTTATATGATTTTTTGAACATACGCTATTTTTGGTGGAAAACTCAGAAATCATGACGTCACTAAAACCTCGATATCTCAAAAATTTTCCGACCGATTTTTTTGAAACTTTGTCACAATAAACTTCAATCATTCTTAGGTGTTGTTTTTATCCGCTGGGACTGAGAGCGTGAGATGATGTTTTTCGTACTCCAGCGTAGATGGGTAGCCATACGGCTTCCACGGTTGACAGTGATGACATCAGTCATCTTTTGCAAGCTCGTTAAAGATTTGGGCTGTACGGGGATTCGGGGTTCGGGGTTCTCGAAAGATTTAGGCCCGGGGTTCGAATCCCCGTACAGCCCAAATCTTTAACGAGCTTGCAAAAGATGACTGATGTCATCACTGTCAACCGTGGAAGCCGTATAGCTACCCATTTACGCTGGAGTACGAAAAACATCATCTCACGTTAAACTTCAATCAATTCTCTACAGGTACCCAAATTTTGGCGCGCCTGCGGCGCGCCGTTTTTATGCTATGGCCTGGCGAAAAAAACTGGGGGCGTTTAACGCCCCCCCCCCCCCAGCAACTCGCGGGTTAATGCCGCATGTCGCATAATATGAATGTTTATTTCCCAGAAAACAACGTTTCAAAGTTCATGATAATGCAACATTTCAAAAAAAAAAGTTTCCATTGGCTGCTGCAATGACATGATGCAATCAAATCCATGCGTTGAAATGTGTTAATGAAGTTATGTCCGCATACCATATGGTATACATGTCGACTATTGGGAGTACCGATTTATTGCTGTCAGGGAGTGGTGTGCGTTACCCAACACTTTACAGCGACAGACACTGATCAGTTTATTTCTCTTTGACAGATTGTTCTATGCCGGAGCTCGCGAGGGCCAGATGCCAGAGATTCTGACCATGATCCAGGTCAACCGGCTGACCCCGGCCCCCGCTGTCCTATTCGTGGTGAGTGGCTACTAAACTTCGGGCGGCTGGGGGTTTCGAACCTGCTTCGGGGAGTAAAACACAATACAAATGATATGCAACAATGGTTTAGATACTTTTTTTTTGTTAAAATGTAAAATCTTTTTAGGACAAAGTTTTAGATGGGATTGCCGCTCTGGATTCTGGAAGCACGTATGCATTCAGACAGTATACCAATGCAGATTTCACCCGTATCGCCTTACCCGTGGCACGTTGTTATTCCTTCGGGTGCGCCCTGTTTGGCCAAAACTGACGGGCATCGCTTGACATTTGCCGAGTGTGGCAATGAAGCGCGTGTTTGTCCTATCGTATACGTGTCGCGTGAACCCCAGAGATAGCTTGCCGGCTCTACTGAAATGACTCTGGGGCGGCAAGGGGGGGCATTGGGACGTTTGGGGGCGTCAATGTGTCAGCATTGCAGTAAGTAGTACTAGGACGGCACTTTGAGACACTATGGCAGACGACAGGCTACCAGCAATATGGCGAAATCCAATGTTGTGGGGTCGTTCAGTCCAATGGATGTGAGGAAACGACCTTGGCATTATTGCTCAATTTCCGTTTGGGGGTGTGAGTATTGCGGAAGAATTTCACCAGAGGACGTTTTGTATATGTATCTTAGTGCCAATTTGTTCATGGTTTGCCCCTGCAGGGAGCATGTTAGTGATGAAATATTTGACATGAATTTCCTGTCGTCAGGCTCTGCTCTCGCTCGTATACCTGACGTCATCTGATATTTTCGCCCTCATCAACTACGTCGGTTTCGCGACATGGGTAAGATGCTTTCCAAAAGCACATTTCTAATTATTGCAGTGTTTTACATCATTGTTTGCTCATGCTGGTGACATTAGTTACCATGCAATGAGGACATTACACCATGTATCAGCATTCACCCATCTATCGTGCTGTTTTGTAAGGCCAAGATGATCCCCACTCAAAAGTGCGATCTTTATCTCTGTCTCACGACCCAGAAAACAAGGTGCTCCTCTATCGCAATGCGTATTCCTCGACTAACCGCACTTGTTATGGCTGTTTCTTTCTCCGCACCCACAGCTGAGCATTGGCGCTGGCGTGCTCTGTCTGCCCGTGCTGCGCTGGACGCAGCCCAACCTGGTCAGACCCATCCGCGTCAACCTCTTCTGGCCCATCATCTACATCATCGCCACCATCTTCATCACTATCATGCCGATGATCGCCAAGCCCGTTGAGACAGGTGGGTTGCAGCATCAAGGCCATGGGGACCGCTGGGGGTTCAATGAACCTGTTGACCACGGTCATGATATTAGTTAGTATGCGTTGACGCACTCTTATCGAATACCATGATGTTATCAATCGGTAAACCTTGCGTTGACCCTGTCAACAGCGTGATCATGCTCGGGACTTGATTCCGCCTCGTATGACGGTCTTCAATCGACCTGCCGTGCCCCGTAGTGCCGTGGCAGTCAGCCAATACTGGTCGGCCCACATGGTCGCTCAGGGACCGATCTATGACCAAAGCTCGCCGAGGCCCCCCAGCGGTATCGAGTGGATCGAGTGAACGCCAAACGAGGAGTGATTAAAAAACGACAAATAATCTAATTGATTTGGTCTTTCGCATAAAACAGCTACCGTCGATATCGTGTATTGGAAATCAATATTGGAAACGTTTTAAATGATAGTCGCATTTTCAGCTATTACTGATTGATTGCGTGCAGTTTGTCAGTGTTCGTATTATCTGGAAGCTTCCCATCGTATATGCGAGCATTTATGCATACACATTGTGCAACTATGCATTTATCCTTAAATCGAAGAACTGAGTTATTGGTACCCAGTTAGGAAGTGCTATGCCAATATTCGTATGGTTCCCCATAGGTTCTCATTTGTTCAGCGTGTCCATAAAGGCCAGCTTTTACAATTCATACAGGGTTGACGGCCACTCGCTTTTACTATCTGCTTCTAACTAACGGCCTCCGCCCTGGGTCACAATATACCACTTCACAGTGACCTCATGACCTTTCTTCATGGTTTGCTTAAAGTCGCCCGACCCTCTTTACCATCCAGTTCTCCGTGATTTAGTCGGCGCTTGAGTGCTGACAGCAGGAGCCCTCAGGATAAGTGGGTAGTGGGCGTTAGGCGAGGTTGCGGGAGACAAATGCTGTTGCTTGATAAAGCAGTTTTGGGCGAGCAGTTAGATTTGGTTGGTCTGGTGAAACTCTCGTGTAAAGACTCGGTAGCGAGATGGAGGATATAACACTATCCGCAGGAAGAACAGGCCCTGTTGTGCCTTCTTGTGGCTTGTTGACGAGTTTGGGTGTACTGTTGCTGACGCCTGACGGGGTCGTGGACTCTCAGTAGCGCCAGAACTCATTACGGCAAACAACACTATCCTGTGTGGCTGGCGGTGCGGTCAGCCTGAGATGAGTCCACGCTGTAATGAAGTGCTCTGACGGATGTGCCGCGTCCGAGGGATGATGGACGTCATTTGTTCCGCCGCCGACACTTTAGGCTAAAGAGGAATATATGCACAAGCTACAGCTACAGCGGAAGCAAGCGGACGTGTCTTTTCACAGTTTGAAATTTGAAGCACAACGAATCTTACTAATCTTACTAATCTTATTTCCTGCACAAGAGAAGTCATGTTAAGTCACGCAGATGCTTCTAGGAAGTTCTGAGTTAGTTTGATAATTTCCTAGCAATTTTTGAAAGGGAAAATATCTTCAACAGGAATTTTAAGATGTCCTGAGAACCCCAAACTCAACTTTCAACATTGGCCTGCTATTTTGAGGGCCCCATTGCAGAGTTCCGGTAGAGTTGCATTCTGTTTCGGTGCGGTCTTTCTCTGGGTTCCTGTACGTCTGCCTCCCTATTCATCAGCCGTCGCTGGCTGCCTTTGACATTCGTCGGCGGGCTGCGTTGCGGCCGTCATTGGCCTATTGTGAGCCCACTGCACAATTCCGTCAACTCCGACCGCCTGCAGAAGAGCGAACACGGCAATGCCATCAGCAACTCGGAATGGAGCGGGATGGAACGGGGGTAGCCGAAGGACGACGGAAGAGCGTTAGGGCGCCCGTAAAAAAGAAAAAAATGAAAGGCAATCGCAGACCTTTGGTGGGGCCATGAGGAGATTTTGTTGTTCAGAGCGGTTGGATATAGGGCAGCACTTTGGCGAACTGTTTTCGATCAGCAGTTGGTAAAGTTCAGAAGTTGCAGAAGTTGAGAAAATGCTATTCTGCCAGACTGACGAATTCCGCTTATCGGCCAAGAGGCCACTCCGATCAACCAATGTCGGATTGTTTCACACTCCGCAGCCGTCAGCCGCTAAGAGACTACCAAAAACTTATCACCCCATCCCTCTTCCATCTTTCCCAACACCTCGGGGATAACATTTCACTGCATCTTCACATATCTACACTTACGAAATAAAAACGATCGAATGGGTAGCGCCATGGAAGGTGATAATATGAGGAAAGCCTCCCGCTCGCCTCCTAGTGTGAGCCCAGACTATGCGAGAGGGCAAATCTGTGCGAATTATATAATTGAAGCCGACTGAATGAATCGCGAGGTTATCCCAGATCAAATGCACAGCACACGCACGGTCGGATGAGGTGTAAATGCATGCTGGAATCTTTCCGTTGCCGCAAAGGGCTCGGCTCTCGTGATCTTGAGAATGTTATCACGGTCGGTTGACAGCGTCCGGCCTGTTGAGTGATGGCAGACGCCTTGGTTTACGCCACCGAAATCAAAGTCGGCAAGGCATCTGGCAGCGGTCAGCTTTGGGCTCGTCACGAGCCATCGCCGGTACCCGACGACGTTAAATTGTGCTGTCGATTTGTATAAAAAGATAATTTGTTATCTTGACATATTTCACTCATTATTTCTTCACCACAGTGAAAATACCTCTCGTAGCGCTATACAGAGAGTGTCATTGGTTATTAGCAAAGAGTGTTGGTACCTATGTTATGAATCATCTCCCTCCTTTAGTGCCGAAGTGGCTTAAATGATTCCTCTGACCTCTTTTACTTGTCCTGTTTTGCTTCAGGGTTCGGCCTCATCATCATTTTGAGCGGCGTGCCCGTCTACCTAGTGTGCATTGCGTGGAAGAAGAAGCCAGCAGTTATCAACAAGTCAATCGGTAAGAACGCCCTGTCTCGTGCTCGGCTGTCCGCAGCTCAATTGGGTTTTATTTTATTCAGCATTGCAGCCTTTCTTTACTTGGGAGCGTTTCTATTATATTTTAGAAACTTTGCTTTCTCTGTTGTGATGTTCGCTTAGATTACTGATGACGTCGATTGCTAAATTGCTGTGTTTGTATATGTGTTTGTTTTGCCGCCTATTTGTTGTGTTCGTTTTTGACCGCCTTAGCATGCCTGTCTATGCCCTGTGACACTGCTTTATGGCAGATACCCTCGATGTTGCACTAACATCAAAATTATATTTCCTCATAACGCTTTGTTTAATCTTAGCTGCTTTCAACCCACCAATTTCTTCGTTTGCTCTGTTAGCATCGCGCCTTCGATACCTCTTATACTTGTCATTATTTTAACTCCTTCTTCTGTCTGTGCCACGCTGTGAGCTGTCGGGCTGTGCCGGCCGAGCTGTTTTGTCTCTAGCGTTCTTCCCGGCTGTTCTGTTCCCCGTTCCGTTCTTACTAACGGCCCGATGCGGTCTTAGGTTCGAATCGACGTCGTGTCGACTCGGAGAGAACCCTTCTGACCGAGCCTCGCTTCTATAAGTCAGGTGTGAGAGGTGTCCGAGGCATGGCCCGGCCCGCCCGAGCGGAGGGGCGTCCCATCCCCCCGCCCCGCAGTGGGGGATGGGGCCTGGCCGGAACCACAGCGGGCACGGAACGGCGGGCTGAACTAACCTCTAACTTACTAATGCAACGGGTGTAGTTGACTGGGCTGGTGTTATTGAAACCATTGAAATGTGATATTTCGAGGCATTAAATTTACTAGTGTAAATTGCAATCATCACTGTATTTTGGGTTAAAAAAAATAGGCAACATGCTGATAAGGCTACTGAAAACATATGTTTGTCAAAATTGCAGCGCTGTTTGTTCTTTCCGCCCAAACAACAATCTTGCCAATGTAATGAAGAATACATGTTCCCACAAGGAAAACCGTGTGTTCGCCACAAATCTCTGTTAATTTTTATCACTCGGGACCATGGCCTTGCATTCTTATTTGATGCCCTTTCCCCTGCAGAAGTAGTTAATATTTAGTGAGGAATGCTGCCTGCTTTCATCTAACCGCGTGCCTGTATATATACTGCTCTGAGATGTGTGCCTAATTGGGGTTGCCCACATTGACTGTTCCTGCTCACTCTTTGTCTTTCTCTTGTGACCTACCCGATCCAATATACCTACTTCCATGGCTCCACATATTTTTCAGCATATTTTCATTTAAAACAATTACATCAATTTCTCTCGTGATATGCTTCCGCCTTTCGTGATCAAACTCATTGTGATATTATTTTGTTGTTACTGGTGAAAGATAAGCAGTTCTCACCATTTACCTACTTTATATTTTATGGTAAGCTCTCACATTCCCCCGGTCGGAAAGCGTTTTACAGACCGATGATTACCTATACATATCGGCATTCATTTTTCTTAAAAAGGAGTAAAATAAATATTCTTCATTTATGCTTTCTGTTATGCCTGAAATTCGTACCTACAAGCTCCTTTTTCCATGACACCATGCCTGTTTTATCTCCCGCTCTCCCTATCTCCCTGCCGCGCCTGGGTCACTAGCGGCACCCGCACGCGCACCACCCGCCCCTCTGCCCCGCCCCGCTATGGGTGGGGCTCGGAACTGCACCTGGGTGCGCCGCTTGCTGACGTGTGTGCCCGTCCTCTGTGTCTCCCTCTCTTCTAGCGGCGGCCACGCGTCAGGTTCAGAAGCTAATGATGGTGGTCGGGGAGGAATAGCAGACACACTGTTTGACCCGCGGTCATCCGACCGGCCGCGCGCTGGGGAGAGCCGCCCATCGGTGTAGGTCGATAGGGAAGGTGGACGTGCGAGATAGCTGAGATGCAGACAGCTTTATTGATAAATGAAATGCACAAAATCGATTACCGCTTCTGTAGAAAACTTCTGCTTTACTCCTATTACTTTGTTATTAGTTAATAAGTAATAAGTAATTGTTCAAAACTACTTCTTTTGTTGTCAAACGATAAATGTATCTGAAGGAGCGTCATTTCCCTAGTAATCTAGATACGAGATGGGTTATATTTCAAGCTTTTATTCAGGATATAAATGGTTTGTCAATGTTTTTTTGCTCGTTATTTCAATTAGTCATGTCTCTGTATGGATGGCCTGGAGCAGCTGGAGTGAGAAAATCGCTGATGATCGGTAGTGTTATCAATGCTGCCTGAACACTGATGTCCACTGTCCAGCACGTGCTTTGAGCGTTACGGGGCTTGATTGCATTGGGCAATGCCGGTGTATACTTATACTAGGGGACGGTTCCAGAAAGAACACATTTAGTTTCCACTTCGTATTTGCAGAGCGTTTCGAAAACAAGCTAAACTATTTTGCGGTAGTCATTTTACGCCAAGTTTGAATACGATTTGCGAATGAATCAAATGTTTCTCATGCCTTCATTCTGAAAACTCGCTTCTGTTTTTTATTCATGCTTTAATTAAAAAGAAACACTTTAATGCACGGGGCAAACGTAAAGTTATGCTTTTATGTCAAAGTGAAAGTAGAAGCGAATGGAAGCCCAAATAAATTTGGAACCTTTGATACTACCGTATGGGGGCCTGGACGTGCATGGGGTATTCAGGGATAGTAATAAGGTCTACGAGCGCAGTAGCTATGACTTCTATTAGGTGCTGGAGGTGTTTTATCGCATTTCTGTGCTTGGAATTCTATGAACGTACCTTAGTATGTTTTGCTGAAGTTACATCTTTATGGTCAAGTGTGTTGTTTTTTTTGCTAATGGTAGCACATTGTTACGCGTAATGGCCTGGACGAAAGTTCATCTCCAGGCGCCTATTACCCGTGCCCAAGAGTAAAATTGAGAAATCGCACTAATCAAGTTGTATATTTAGATATCGCTAACATTGTCACCACCTTTTCAGGAGCCTTCACTCGTCTCCTGCAGAAGGTCCTGGTTGTGCTTCCCGAGAACCAGTGATAACATGACACACACACACGTCTTCTCTCTCGTCGGCGGCCATGTTTTCGGCGGCACGCGCTGCCGTCCTACGACGGTACCGGCAAGTTCAGCGCCCTCTATACAATCTGGTCGAGCACATCAGAGACATCTAGCGTCCAAGCGACGCCATGGCTTAGCTAGTGTTAGCGGTCAGTGTTGATGTCTTCCGGCGTGCGGGCTGTCAGTGTCTCCTCCCGGTAGCCGAGGACGTTGTGCTGGTAGTGGCCCAAGGTCGTTCGTCGATATGTCATATGTTAATCTGTGCCGTTGACAGGTAGTTCACCATGTCGGTGGCCTGTACGCGGAGATTGCGCAGTCAAAAATGGCTAAATTCTAGGACTGCGCTCTCTGTGGAGTGAACTTTAGCCAATGTTGGTGTGTGTCGCGGCGTATGCATGGTTAGTTGGGTAGGTGGCGCTCTTGTCGTTGCCGTGACGGCTGTGCCATGGGAGGGGCACCAGCGCACACTGGTCGGAAACGCCCTCACGAGAGGCCACGGGCGATTCCGGAGTTTCGGATTATTTTTTATATAGATCGATTTGAAAATGATCAAATTATTATACTTAGGCCAAAAAAACTAATCCGGGTGACCAAAAATAGCTGTAATCAGCCCCCGAAGATGGGGTATCCCAGAACTCGGAAACTGACGCGGAGCAAGAGGTTTCTTGAGCCGGATATTCAAAGTCTTATTGCTGATAGACACCAAATTGAAATCCCACATATTATGCATCAAAATGTTCGTTATGAAGTTGCCGACTGGTCAGTGCAAAATTTTTGGTATACTTTTTCCCTAACTAAGATGTACTATAGCTTTTTATGAAGGCTCTCCTACAGTGATTCTGGAATATAACTGCAAAGTTTAGGTAAGGAAACAACAGGTAGTCCCATCTAGTTCCACTCTGATTTTTTGTGAGATGAAGTAGAATTTAAATTTACACCAGGGCAACATAAAAGCTAACTGCGCATATTTGCGCAAAATTTGCAGGAGCCGCTATTCCTACCCGATTACCGCCCGCCCCGCCCCAGTTTCGGCTCGGCCGCCGCGCCCGGCTTACGCTGACCTGTGTGGCCTGCACGCATCCATGCGTAGTTGACTGGACATTAAAAACAGATGCGCTTGAGTTTATGAATTGTGAAAAGCGCGTTTTATGTATGCATTTATGTATGTATTGACATCAAAAGCCTTCCACATTTTGCGTGGCGATTACGGCTTGCATTTAGAGAGCCTTGCTATTGACAACCATCACTCGGCTGAAGAAAGTGGAAATTGAAACCTTCGTGAATATAAGACGCTGCAAATATAGGACACCTGTCACTGACGTCGGGTTACCTTGGGCCGTCTTTTAACATTAGATCACAATTCCGGTATTTAACCCTGGCCGGACCGATTGGTTTTCTACATTGACCGGGGAGGGTTGGTACAACTCCCTCGCCGTTTCGCCTCTAATTGAGCTAGAGCCTCGCGGAAAAAACAAGCTTGTGTGCCGTTATAAGACGCAAAAATTAGGTACTACCGATTTTAAGGTCTTAGGTCAGCCAGTGACCTCTTAGGTCAGGTAAGTGCCACAAGGCACGGGCTCGGTTTTAGGTTAATTACTTTGCCAAAAATGGTCGCACTGCCGCGATTTTGGCATCATCGTGTTTGTCTAGCTCAGGCGCGTTGAATGCTATACTTGGTGTTCGGGTGAACTCAACTTAAGGTGTTAACCTCGGGTCAAGGTCATATCGGAGCCCCTCAGGTCACGAAAATGGTTGAAGGAGGTCATATCGCATATCATTCGATTCGGCAGGTCTTCCTGAGTCCAATGGTGGCTTTCCCGACTCTCTAGCTCCATCTGATCAGGAGTTATTGACGAAAAACTTACATGGCCTTAGTGACGTCATAAATGACGTCACGCAAAGTCAACAATGCTAAAGTTAAGCACTGGACCTTGCAAGGAGTGCATGAAACCATTCCCGGTGCCCGAATAGCAGCTCCCAATTTCCCTTGTTGACTTAAAGTGGTGCTAGATCCTGTATTATACTCAATTATGACGTCATAACTTAACAGATTCACGTCATATATTTAGTGCTTGACATCCAAATGATAGCTTACATATGACAGAGAAGGTATGCAAAGTTTTATGAAGTTTGCTTCACTAGTTGTGGAATAACAAGCAAAAAACTTTTGCGGAAAGGCCGCTGGCCTCTCGCTGGAGCGTTTCCGACCAGTGTGCAGCGGTACGGTCCGAGGCCCCACCGGTTAGACAAGTTACGTGGGAGACGAAACGAATCTCCTTGGGGTGATTGATATGCTGTCAATGGGGAGTTCAGTGAGCCATGACAATGTGCGTATTTGGAAGGTCAGTTCCAATGTGAGTGAATGCATGTAATGCATGTTAGATGCGATGAATCAGTCGATTCGAAGCGCCAACGAGCCACAACCGTGTCTCTTCTATTCATTTTTACGCAGGACACGAACGCATATCATTTTCACACTCTTCGGTTGCATTTTCTAAGTTATAGAACACCAGACCTGAACTAAATCAAACAGCTTGCATGTGCCTGCCACTATACCACAACTCAGGGTTTCAGTGCTACTCACTGCAGTTTGGCAACAGAGACAAGTGCATATAGACAGTTATCAACAATTCCACCATGCTTGGTGAAACATTCGTGACATTCAAATCAATGATTGAATGGTGTGAAACGTTTTTTTGAGCATGATTATGATTATAATGGAAATCAGATGGAATAGTAACCTTTTGCTCATAACTAATGTAAGCCAAAAACAAATCCAAAATATGTTTTCGGTGCTGGACCTTCTTCAGTGGAATTGATTCCACTAAAGAAGGTCCAGCACCGAAAATATATTTTGGATTTGTTTTTGGCTTAGGTACATTAGTTATGAGCAAAAGGTTACTATTCCATCTGATTTCCATTACATTCAAATCAATTCTAACAACGTAATGCTTGTTTCTGCCAGGGACGAGTTGGAAAGCAATAACGTTTTCGACGATGCGAAAGCTGTTTGTTCTGCATGTCTGGTTCATCTGGATGGTTTACCCTAACGCTTATTCGGTGCTCGATAAAAATAAGGACGAGTTTAAAACATGAGATAGAGAAACATCTGTTTTTATCCAATGAACGTTCTCGTCATGTCTTCAGGACCATGGGTGCATTGCATATGATAATGGAATGACCGTTCATTGTTTTGAGGGTTTGTGTGATTGCTGAGTGAAGTCGTTAAAAGTTAAGTCATTATTTACTCATTTTGTAAAGACAGTACGAATACCAAGCGATGGGAATGTGAGAAACGATTCATCCAGAAGTATTGAAAGAGTTGCTGGGGTGTTGTGTGCCTGATCTTGATGTAGCATCTGCTCGAAAGTCGAATGTGCATCATTTTTACCGAAATATTGAACCTAAAAGCATCCTTATTTTACCAGAAAGTGGCTTATTCTCACTGAAATGTGATGACGATCATACACCGAGAAAACGTTCGCTATTTTGTACCGATATTTTAGGACACCAAACCCAAAGCACCAACACCAGCACCGGGCAACAGCACCGAGCAACAGCACCAGTAGCAGCAACACCAACATTTGCACCAAATCCCTGCACCACCGTCAGCCTTCACCGACAGCACTGCAGCAGTCGCGAGCACGCGCCACCTAGCCTGCACAGGGCGATAGTCTGCACATGTAGAATGCGGTGAAACGTGACGATGTGTGTGACGATGTGGACGATGGCGATGTATGCTCTGGCCCCCCGTGAATTTCAATGAAACATCTGCAGTTTATGAGACCTTATGGATACTTGTCTTACCCAGGGAACAAAGCACGTCGCGGTCGGCAGTCTATGCCTACATTTGTGAACGTTCTTCGCAACCGTAATCGTAGGTAACGGCTGCCTATGGATTCAGCTCAGTCTGTAACAGGAAGGAAAAGTTCGACAAGTTCGGTACTCTGTACGTTAATTACGATTATCGAATTATTGTTCCAAATCGGTCTTTTCACCGGATCATGTTTATCTTGTGTTGGTGCAAACATGGTCCAGTGCTCACGATCGCCCTAAAATGCTGCATATCCGACAACGACTTATCCCTCCGATTGGTAACCGAGGAACGGTGCAGCGTTAGCACTGTCCTCTCCACTGCGCAGCCATGACGAAGTATCGGGAGTATAAGCGTGTGTGTGAGAGTCCATGGGACGGCAGCCGCCGAGGCGGCGCGGCGGACCCCATTCTGGTGTCGTATCCGCGTCTCATGGGGTGTCTGATGGTGTGACGTCAGAGCGTCACTGTCGGGATCGAGTGTGATGTCGGAGTGGCGTCATTGTATGTCGTCGCGCGGCTGTACCCGGTTCTGTGTCGCCTTTGGCCTTGTTTCCGTTTGCACGAGTGTCTAGTGCCCGCGCTGCGAATACATTTTGTTGAGCAGACATTTATGGAGGTTTGCCGAGGCCATTGAGGTCAGAACTCGATAATCGACACGAACAGTTCGGAGTTTGACACTTTCGTGCATGGTGGGATGTTTGAACAGTGACAGTGTACACTCACACGGGCGACTTAGTTGTTTATTTTTTGTCTGCACTGCTGTATGCATACCATCAATTTTGCCATTTCTACCAAATGTTTCATGATAAAGGCCTTCATGGGAATCCTTTGTTGTACCAAAAATGTGTTTTAATTGTTCACAGAAACGATCACAAGAAAACGCTTTGGGGCCGACATCCCCAACATGATGCATGTTTTCGCAAGCACAAAAAATGTACGCTGGAGATCCAGTCGTTTCTATATCAGAATCAATTAGATTAATAAAATAATTGATATTTAATACTAACCCCTTTATGAAATTGTTAGTTAACCCTCGCCGGCCGAGGGGGGGCGGGTGCCGCCCCCCCCCCTAGGGTTTTTTCGCGATAGCTCTGAACACGCTGGCGATAGAGAACTGAAACTTGGCATACCTGACCTTTGATTCAAGCCGAATATTTTGACACCAACCACATTTTTGAGTCAGATCAGGTCACTGACCTATGACGTCATAAGTGAACCTCTGCACGGTCTTCAGATGTCGCAACTTCGCAACGCCCTCACTGCCAGAGGAGATGTCACAGGGAAATGAAACTTGCAGGATCTAGTATACATTATGCGTCTCACAACTTGTATATCTCGGATTTTTCCTAAAGGTCATATGAGGTCAGGTCATTTTCGTGACCTCACCATTATAAGTCAATGGGGAAAAATAAAAAAATGCTATTCTGGCGCCGCGAACGATCTCCAACTATCTCAAGCACACAGAATCGTGATTTGATGCACTCCTTGCAAGGTTAGATGCGTCACTTTTGCAATGTTGACCTTGCGTGACGTCATTTATGACGTCATCAAGGTCATATTAGTTTTTCGTCAATAACTCTTGATCATATTGAGCTAGCGAGTCGGGAAAGCCTCCAATGGACTCAGGAAGACCTGCCAAATCGAATGATATGCGACATGACCTCTTTCGACCAACTTCGTGACCTGGGGGTGCTGGCCTGACCTTGACCTGAGGTCAACAGCCCAAGTTGACCTGACCCGAACAAAAAGTATATTATTCGACGCGCCTGAGCGAGGCGAACACGATGCTGCCAAAATCGCGGCTCTGCGGCCGTTTTTTGCGAAGTTATTCACCAAAAACTGAACCGTACCTACCTTGGGGCACTTGACCTGACCTCAGAGGTCACCGGTTGACCTAGGACCTTAAATTCGGGTACCAATCTCTGCGTCTCGTAACTGTGCACACGCTCGTTTTTTCCGCGACGCGCTAGCTCCACCAGGGGCGAAACGGTGAGTGGGGTCGTACCCGCCACCCCCCTCGGCCGGCGCGTATGTAGAAAACCAATAGGTCCGGCGAGGGTTAATTATCAATTAAATAAAATTAGCCCTATTTCTTCGTAGTGTCTAGCCTACTTTAAAGGGACCCTCCCACCTTAACATTAGATTTGAGTTGAGATAGCCAAAATGGGGTCCCTGGCTCACAATTACCGGTTTCGGCACTCACAACATCGAGAAATGCCTTAAATCGGAAATATTGAATTTCAAAATTGCAGCATTTTGATTCAGAGGGGCTAATGCATAGGAATACCCCTCTGAATGTGTGACGTCAGCGCAGATATCTAGCGATTTTTAAATGTTTGACTAAAACGTTTTGTAGCACGCGGTGGTATATGCTGCTTTGCGCGCAACAAGTGCCGCACTTTCAGCTGCCAAACTATTGCTTCCACATAAAGTCGCTAGGAACAGCGGAGATCCCAAAAAGTAAACAAAAGTAAAAGTATAATATCTTGAAAACCGGTGAATATTTTTCGGTGAAATTTGGTAGATATTCGTTTTCGCTCTTTCTGAACCGAGCGACATCAC